GCATAGTACAGTGAAAAAACAGTTAAATAGGTACATGAGAGAATAAGATACACAACAGCAGTAAGGTTTCCAGCCCACATTATAGTTCACATACACTATGGGTTAAGACATTTTGTGTTCTGTTAGGGAAGTTAGAAACACAATGCCATAGGATGGATGAGCTGAATTTCACACACATCACCACCAGTGGATGGCAATGCAGCAATTTGGGGTTTTCAGTATTTTGCTCATAGGATTAACTTCGACACGTGCCAGGAGGATCGAACCAACACCTTCCGATTGGGGGACGACCCGCTCTACCTCTGAGCCACAACCGCCCCTGTGATCAGGGGATACAGACTGTAACCTGTTGAAATAGATGATGTGAGATGAGTGGTTGCTAATATGGAAAGAACATGTCAACATACCCTCTGGTTGTGAATTAGATTTTTTCCAGGTGTAAAAAAGATATTATATAGTGTAACCAGGATGTAGTTGGTGGAGCAATGTCTGATTTCCAGTGTAGGAGTATTCTTCGAAAACCAATTATTTTAGTTTGTTTGACAGCATCCCCAATAGGAACCCGAAAAATAGCAAATTGAGCTATGACTTGATTATGACTGTCCCTAATATGTCGGACATAGTGTCAAAGAAGGCTTTCCAAAACCCAGCTAGCCCTGAACACAACCGTTGCACACATCAGGGTATATTTTAGTATAATTTTTGTATTACTGCCTCAGTTAGCCATCAGGAAGCTCTGTAAGTCACCTCAGTACTCGTTAGTGGTGTCGTCACACTGACCATCGTCTGTTTGTGTTTAGCCCTGGTCCAGTTTAGTTGCTGTTGTTGTGGTTTTGTATAGTTAATAGTGAGCCCAAGCCCCCAGAAACACCCTTTATGTTGTCTTAAGTTGAACATTGATTGATAGGTGGATGTTATAATATTATTAGTATATAATGGTGATTTTAACTTAATACTAACATCAGCATTCTATCATGCTTACAGTTAATTTAGGATTCCTTCTCTCTGGACAATGAATGCGTATTAAAAATGTCTAATAGTTGAGATATTTCAGCCTGGACTGGCTGAGCTGTCTGGCCTGAGCACCGGACATTTCCATCAATAGAACTATGCAGCTAGCATGGTTAAAAAAGCAGAAAACTTTTAAGAAGAAAACTTTCAGTTAAAACAGTGGGCCAACCACCTTTGACATGTTTGCTTTAAAACAGATTTCCCAGCACAGTGTGTTCATATTATTTTAAAGTTCTGTTCTTCTTCTTGTGTTTGCTATTGAATTCTGATGTTGTATTTTACTGTGGTGTCCAAAAGGGAGTTATCTCCACTGTGTCATATAAAGTCCAAATCCAATAAGTACTAGAATAATGGAAATGTGCTAAATTACTGATTATTAAAATATAATTGCTTTGAAATGCAATGGGCATTTATAATTTTGGCTTTTCCTCTCCCTGTAGCCATTAGTTTGGCATTGCAAATTGTTACACCTAGGAGCAAATTCCAGACATCATGTGCATCACAGATTAACACAGTTTCCAAATTTTCCACACAAAAAAGGAAAGATGGTTCAACTGCAAATTGCCAGCACTATAATGCTCCGTATACAGTAGACAGTCTTATGACATTTGCTTTTTTCATTTCTTAACCTGGTGTCTGTGGACCCCTAATGCTCCATGCCAGTACTACAGGGGGTTTATTTTTTTGCCTGATTTTGCTAATATAATAATTTCCCTTAATAAATGTATATATCTTTGAATAACTAGTCCTACACTGCTTGAGACTCGACTTGGGGTACATCCCAAGTCTCTTATTTGACATTTCCTCGCTCCTCGTTCCTTGAATTGGAAGTTGTTCTGGTCCGCCATCTTGCAGGCCACCCCAAAGCGCTTCTTTCTGCACCGAGGAGAGAGGATCGGGGAGCCATCTCTGAGAAGCTATGAGCGAGGATCCATGGTAGCAGCCTTCACGGAATTCTTTTTCTGACCCACGCCAGCTATATTATTTTCCCTGAAACATTTAGCCTAATAAATATTTCCAATGTTCAAAAGACACCACATTCATATCCTGGGTTATTCAATACTGCATTTACAGTCACAATATCAATTAATACAGATGCACATAATAAACAAATAATGTCTCGCGCTAGTTTTCAGGTGATTTCTTTATTTATTCTGTGTTGTAATGATGTAGCCTATGAGTGTTTTCTGAATTTACTATAATGATTAGAGAGGATGCTGTCAGTCATTTTAAACGTTTCCATGCGCATACTAATGTCACTTCAGCAAATACTAAACAGCAAAACTGCTGGGGACTGCTGTTTTACTCTAAACAATTTTCCTTGTATGAACCTGGACTGTGTGTGGGAACTTTCGGAGGTGTAAAATATCAAAGAACATTAATTAACAATTAACTTAATTAATTAAATTATCAATGATGTTATGCTACTATGCCTCATGCGTATTTGCGCAGAATGTCTCTTTTAATGGGTGAAAACTATTATTCAGTTCAGATCTCAGTTACACAGTTTTAACTGTGATCTGCGCTTCACTATAATGCAGGTTGTTGTTTATGTACAGGCAACAGGCTACTGCTCTGGTACTGATAATGGTGTATCTTTATTATTATTTTTATTATTATTATTATTAGCTTGCTGTCATCAGAAACTGACGTCTCTTCATGTGACGCTTTAGAGTAAAGGACGTCTCAATTCTCTAAAAACATATTTCCTCGTTCCTTCCTTTCTTGCGTCTCTCCATGTATCCCTGGAAAAGACGCAAGTGAAGGAAATGTGGATGCAATTAAGCGACATGAGACACACCCTTGAACTTGGAAGTTAAAGATTTGTGACTTGACTTTAGACATGATGACTCGAATGAGTTGTCTGTATTTATTTTATGTTATAAGTTTGAATATTAAATATGAAATATTTCAATGTTCAACGTTGACATTACAAGTGTCTGCAAAAGCATTGCTTTGTCCATTCTGGGTTCCTGTAGAAACCAGCTAGTTCTGCTCCATTCTGTTTATCATATTTTTCCTCCCTTATTTCTCATATTGCATACACACAGATTCACATGTAAATACACAATATGACTATTAAATTGTATTAAAACTCCTGGATAACTATTGAAAATGTTCATAAGTTCCATAGGAAAAGACACATCGCTTGAATAACCTGTGTTTAGTGGCTCTAACATCAGGTCACATGTCAAGCATGTTGGCATCAGTGAGAGTCTCCACTGACTCCACTGAGTAGACATATAAATAGCTACTGTGCTCAGAGGATTAGCAAGAGAGAGCCACAGCCTCTCACCTGGACCAACACGAGGGACTCCTACACACACACAAACACACACACACACACACACACACACACACTGCTTTAGTGTATACAGATGTTAGATTGAGTCAGGGGCCTCTGACTTGGCTAACCCCACAGAGAAGCCACTGGCCACTTCTACACTGTAAAAAAGCCAACTTTTATTTATTAAATTTTTTACAGTGTATGTGAAAAATAGCACTGGAGTGAATAAATAATACCAAAATGCAAAATAAGTAAATTATATCATGGTCTCTGGTGTATTCACATGTTTAAAATGACACAGGGTCACATCTCTGAATGACTCCAGTTCCTGCATCACATTACATTCTTAATGAAGAAATTAAGAACAAAATAAAATATCCTATTCTCCATTTGAAGAATGATTTTTACACAATGTATGTGTGAAAATCACACAGAGAATTATCAGACTCCATAGTCCCCATCAGCTCTACATAGCTTTTCATCCTGTTTCATAACTGTATAATTAAAAATGGTCGTAATCTCTGTGACATCCCCCATAGTTTTCTGAAGAGCTGTCATGAAGCACAGTGTGGTCGGCTCTTGCCGTCGCCATCTTGGCAGTCCTGACTTCGCCGTCCTGACTTCGCCGGCTCCCGGCAAAGAGGTGGAACGTGGGTGGAGCTGAGACGGGCTGAATAAAGCCTGGTTACAGCCACCTGTGACGGCACCCACCTGTTATTCAAAGTAACAGTCCACCCCTTAATTATGCATAACTTTTAGCCTTAATATAATTTAAACAAGGGATTTATAGAAAAATTCAATTCATGAACGATAATCATCTATCAACAATCAACTATCTTCAAGCCTCCAACCCAAAGCATCTTTATATCTTCTTGGGCTCTGATTGGTTGTGGATTCTTGCAAATACCATTATGAGTGTTAGGAGAAGCCAGAGGAACCAGATTTTTTCACAGATTATCTGTCTAAAGGTTAAAGTTTCAGCAAATATGAGAAAAGTTATTTTCATAAAAGTTATCCACTGCAGCTTAAACTAAACCTATATTCAAATGGTGCTTTAAAGGGGTACTTTTTTATGTGTAAATTCAGTGGATTTCCCCTTTTAAGGTCCAGGGTGTAGGATTTAGCAGTGTAGTCGCAGATTACAACCCTCCCTTTTCCAAGGGCATAAGAGAAACTACAGTTGCCATAAAACGGATGTTGCAATCTAGAGCCAGTGTTTGGTTTGCTCTCGGCTTCTATAGATACATGGCAGAAGAAGACCTTCTCTCTCTGTAGATAAAATCGCACTAACACTACACTAATGATAACATACCTATACATATTATATTTAATTTCTGATAATAGATCCCCCTAAATGTTACACACAGAATGTTATGCACCTTTAATGGACTCAAAGTAAAATAATAATAAATAATAAAACAGCATTCTAATAACTAATGTGACAATCCAGTCCCATCATGTTTATTATTCCTGTTGTGTCATCAGCCTGATACAATATGTGACAACACTATAGCTATAGATCGACACAAGCTGTTATACTGTATGTGTTACTGATCAATTGAGAAGATGTCTGTATCAGTGTTGGGAGGATGTTTTATGTCAGGCTCAACGTGTTTTACATTTATGCCTCTGCAGGGCTGGATTATCTCAGTAGGGGGCAAAAACGACAGCTGTAGGCCCCTAATGACCTGCCCCACCCCACCCCCAATTCCTTTATTCTCTGTGCAGAGCATATTTACCCTGTGTTCATTAAATTCAAATGGTTCATTGCATTTTGAACAAAAGCTGTCATGTGTACTACTTAAAGACAAAATAACACAGGGGCACACAATTAGAACTTTAAAATGTCATTTTTATTTCATTGTCTTGAAGATATCGATCATCAACCATGGATGAAGGCGGGATTACAGAAAAAAGCTGCAATTTTGGGGGTTTAACCAGCTCACATGTACACAAATAAGTAATGTAAATAGTTTGTTTATTTGCTTTGATTCTTGCTTTGTTTTTTATTTTACAAATTGTTTTAAAAAGGTATTGGAAAGCTTAAAACTAAAATATATTTTAAACAGGGTTGTCCTCTTTCTATGTGCTCTGTCCTTTTTATGCCATATTTAGCATTTAGTTTAACTTTGGAATACATTTTTGATCCATACCTAATAGTAAACCCAGAATTAATAAACTGTTAATGTTAACAATTCACATGTTTGTCTTGCTGTGTTTTCTTCTCAGCCAATCAGCACAGTGATTCTCCTATTCCTCTGGAGGTGCGGCAGCCCATCAAGATCCACTTAGTGCTGACGTCATTAAGCTGCTTACTGCAGCAGGTGAATGGAGAGAGAAACTGAGAAAGATTTGTTTACATTGATGTTCGACTAATTGATACTGCAGACTGCAGCATGACAACATGTTTTTGTAGAAAGTAGAATATATTGATCTGACAGATTAGTATTGATGTGCATTCTTTCAGTGTGTGGAAGTGAAGTCTGGAAGTGAGTGATCCAAGCAGGCGGGATGGAGAGCAGCGAGAAGGTAACTGCTGTGCTATCAGTACATGACACTGTTAGAACCTCAGTAGTGACTGATAATATCTGACAATAGCTATAGTATCTTTTATAAATTCATCAGTGTTTCCTAGCCAATAACAAACTGTAATATGTGAGACAAACATGTAAGCCAACTGCGGGGACAAATTTACACTCCTTCAACCTGATATAAATCAGAGGCTCCCAAGCTGGGGGTCAGAATGCTAAAGCTTCACAGGGGGTTGCAAGGCCTTCTTGATTTTAAGGGGTGTAAGAAAATATAAAAAATATACACAGTAGACCTATACCTCAGCAGAAACAATAATAAACTTTTGATTATTATTTAAGATATAAACCTTGAAAACCTGAACACAAGCTAAATTCACTTCTTGATAAACAGCCGGTCCTGCATTAGAAAAGAAAGGAAGAAAACACTGAATTTGTCAAAAAATATATAAATATATATGTATAAAAATATCCCTAAAATCATCAGGAAAACTCATCTCAGACATAATATTAACAGGAAATGCTTGCTCTGTTCGAAATTCATCAAAATCGCTCATTTTACACAATCTTCCTGCAGTTATTGTATTTACTGGTTGGGTTCATTGTACAATTTATGTTTTTCAGTTGTTCTCTATTGTTATTGTCATGCAATGAATATAATATGAAATATCCATGACTAATGTCACTTAGTCAGTTTACTCAATGAAAGATAAGGGGCCCCTTAAGGAAAAAGGTTGGGAACTGTGTAAAATTACTGTGAAATTCACAAGTGAAATATTCTTTGAGAGAAACTTAGAGACCTTTACCACGTACATGTGTTAGTTGTCTCCAGCTAAATCCAGACCTTTATATGTGTTTCTCTCTCATAATAACAGGTGACACCCCAGTTGATGATGGCTGTCGGGACAGCTGTGATTGGCTCCTTCCAGTTTGGCTACAACACTGGTGTCATCAACGCTCCCCAGAATGTGAGTATTATGTTGTGTAAGAGATGAGTAAGAAAGGAAAAAGGACAATGATGAAATCAGATGTTCAGCAACAAATAAACTATGATTATATTGGACAACCAATGCTGTCCATATTCACATTCTGATTAGTGGACGACCTGCTCTGCCTCTGACGCCCCCCTTAACTCTGGATGTGCTACTACCAGCCATAAAACAGCAACAGAACTAAATCTGGATGAGGTTTATATTACAGATGAGGAATTTAATCAGGTTAACCTCAAGACTGTCTTCTCAAAATTTCATCATGTGTAAACTTTTCCCACTAAAGGTAAAAATACTCTGGAACACCCTCTCCCATTTGGGTGTCAGACCATATCATTAAGAGTGAGATTGACTACAGATGACTACAGCGCAGCATTGAATACAATCTCTGAGATCACTAAAGAAAGTAAAACTGAACAAAGACCTGCTTTTCACCTTCTGACAAGACAAGCTTTGTAGTGGGTCATTTAATGTGCCCAGAGAGTCAGACTCTCTAGGCAGCTGCCACCTGATGACCCTAGCTACAGATCCTGTTGTCTCTATAGAGCCACATTTTCCACCACCCTTTCACTCTTCTGCCCTCTGGACAGCACTATACGTACGCCAAGGCCTGCAATGCTAGATTGGGGAACATTTGCTTCCACAAAGCAATAAATCTGCTGAACCAATAAGTGCACATTTAGGACTTTAAGACTTCTCTTCTGAGTAACAAATGTATGCGCATGTCAGTAATCTTTGTAGCTACTACTTAACTGTACTGTACTGATATGTTTGCACTATCTGCACATCTGCACATTTTATACAGTACTGCATTACTGATACTGCTTACTGACTGCTTTGCCATGTTTAAACACACCCATACTGTACATGGACCTATGCTCAATCACACATTCAAAAACATCTAAGACTCATGCATACACGATACGCACAGGACCGCTTTTTTTTTATCCCTATTTAGCTATATAACCTTTTATTTATATTTGATATTTTTATATTCTAGATTAGATTAGATAGATACTTTATTCATCCCCAAGGGGAAATTCACAAC